CCACATCATGCACTGTTGAGTTAATATGTAGAGGAGGTTTGTAATGTAGAACGTTACTAAAATCAGCTGCTGTAGTGTTAAATACTGTTTTCTTTTCTTCATTTTTGTTACTATCTTTCATGTGAACAGTAGTGATCTGAGATGGTGAAATCCAAAATTGCATTTATGTTAATAATTAAACCTGGTAACATGAGTAAATCTAAAGTGTGACCATGAATATGTGTCAGATGTGGTGAGTAAAATGAAATGTTTAAAAGCTGCATGAGTTCAGTAGCTGTTTTGTCTGAGGCTTCATCAACAGGAAAATTGAAATCACCAATTAGAAGAATCCCATCATGATTAGTTACACAGATGGATAGCAGTTCAGACGATTCAAGTAAGAAGGAGGGAGTGTATTTGGGTGGACGATAAACAAAGACCAGCAAAACTGGTTCCTGACCTTTAGAACAGCAAGATATTCAAATGAAGAACCTGTTTCAAATGAAATGTTTTTACAATTAACAATATTGGAAAAAACAACAGCTACACCACCTCCCTTCTCACCTTCCTGTACAGTATGGATCAAATCATAATTCTGGAGCAGTTTCAATCAGGAAAACTGCTCCATCTGAACTGAGCCAGGTTTCATTAAGGATCATAAAATCCAGTTTCTGTTCAGAAATAAGATCATTGACGGTGCTGGTTTTGTTAGTGCTCTTATATTCATCAGGGCTATTCTAAAATTTCTAAAATCTGGCTTTGTTACAGAGCAATAAATAGGCTAACAAACTTCAACTGGCCTGCAAATATTTATTCTCTTACAAAGCCCCCCAGCTTTGGAGTAGTCTTCCTATCAATGTTCGGGACTTAGACACAGCCTCAGTGTTTAAGTCTAGGCTAAAAACTTACTTGTATAGTCAAGCCTTTGGTAATTAGTTTTCCCTGTCAGATCCAGACCTGCTGGAGTCTCTGCTGCTCTGTTACACTGTAATCTGTGATCAGTCACTGTTTACAGAACTGACTCTCTGTGTTTTACTTTGCCGAGTTGAACAGCTGCCCATCCTGTGCGTCTGATGCTGTTGCTTCTTCTGCCTTGATCAGGTGCCACTGCTCGCCAGCCTTCTGGACCGGCTTGACCACCATTTGAGCTTCATGCTGAACAATGCTGTGCAAACCTCACCCTCATGAACTGACCCTCCCGATAATGCTGCTGCTGCATGAACTAAATCTAATCTAATCTAATTAACCACTGCTTCACCTGTTTTTCCCCATTTTGTAATGTATAACACTTTATACTGACTGTTTACTATCCGGTGTCGACCAGAGGAGGATGGGTTCCCCTTCTGAGTCTCGGTTCCTCTCAAGGTTTCGCTCATGGGGGCTCGGACCGGGATTTTTCTGTAATGCTGATTTCTTTGTAAAGCTGCTTTGTGACATCACCTGTTATAAAAAGCGCTATATAAATAAACTTGCTTGCTATTCCTTTTAGTTCCTGCAGGATGTGCTGTATTGTGATTGTTCACTATGGCTTCAATAGAAAAGTAACCGTAAAATTGAGGTGACAGCAGAAACCATGACAACCACCATAAACGGGGGGGGGGGTTCTCACCACTAGAGGTTTCATAATAACATCCTTTTTTCAGTGTTTGTGCTCATACATTTGGGTATCTGGACTGACTTCTCTATTCAATATTAATTCCTTTTAGCTCCTGTAGTAAGAGCTGTTTTGCGATATAGTTTGAATAGGTAAGTAACCGCTAGTGCCAGATAAGTTACTGTTTTATTTTATTTACTTCTCTATTTTCCTGTCACATTTTACTCATTGCCTTCTTGTAGTTCGATGATAAAAACATAGAGCCACAACTACTTAGGTGCAGTCTGTCTCTGTGATAAACAGGCGTCCTTTCCAGTGTTGCGATTGTCAATAAAATCCAAGTTATTGACCTCAGTCCACCTTTTCAGCCACTCGTTTAGAGCAAAGAGTCTCTAAAGGTCTCTTTTAATCACATGTGCTGAGTGATGAGGCTGGGTGTAGTTGAGAGCAGGTTTTCTTGACAAAAAAACAAAACAAACACTGAGAATGATACCAGAATAACATACGACAAGGCTTTGAAACAATAATCACCTGGGAGAAGGAGGAGAAATGAATGACACATGGATGTTAAGGTGGTGGCACTAATAGTAAGTTGGGAACAGAACAGAGACAAGGACCAAAACAAAAGCGTGTGGCTAGAGAAGACATGGCTACGACACAGGGGCAAAAACAGGCACAGATAGAAGAACTAGGGATGGTCTTTGACAGAACCCTTGTTGTAATGTGGAGCTCCTGACTCCTCTTTTTCATTTGTTTGTATCTGAACGCTGCAAAAATCAGGAAATAGATATTTTTCACATGTACTATTAGTAAAGAGTGTTTGCATAGAACTTCCCAAGAATTGCTTGGAAAAGGATCTTAAAAGTGAAAGCTGAAGATACTGCTTGATCGCTCAGAAATATGCATGAACAGCTGACTCTTAATTACAGTTATTTTATTATATATGAACACTGACATGAGACAAACAATGATGAACAATGGCAAACAGTGACATTTATTGAAATTTATTTTTTATCCACTGTAGGACAGCAAACAAAAATATCACACATTATTAAAATATGGAACATTTAAAATTTGATTGCAGTACTGAATTTTTAATGAGTATTTCTTTTAATAATGGTCATGAATGAAAGAATTTGCAGCTTTGGAAAAATCAGAAAATTAAGATTTTTTTCACAAGTACTTTTAGCAAAAGAGCATTTGTATAGAATTTCCCTAGTTTTGTGGTTCGGAAAAAGGATCTTAAAAGTGAAAGCTGAAGATGCTGCTTGATTTCACAGAAATATGCATGACCAGCCAACTCTTAATTACAGTTAGGGTTGATCTGTGTGAAATGTGGAGATCAGGAACACATCTGTAAGAGGCCTGTGATGATCAGAGATCTGAATCCCCCAGACAGCAGGACTCATTTCAGTTCAGCTACCATAATCAGTGACCACATGAGCAGTTTTCTTTCTGCTTTCAGAGGTAAAACTAAACTTATTCCCATAAAGATACAATCACACACTTCCTCTTTTCCTGATACACCGCAGATGTTTGTCTTAACTGACAATGTTTTTTTATTCAGAGGCTAAATTATTTATGTATGTATGTATGTATGTATGTATGTATCAATGTAAAGGTGATGTAGCCCACGTTTAGTCTTTAAGAATCTGCAAACTGCTTTATTTAATTATAACAGTGCAGCTGTTATAGAAGATGCTTATATGACACCAGAATGGCAGAGTAAGAATTGTACACCGTCCTATTGTGAAATTCATTTTAAATGCATAGAAGTGCAGCAGTGATATTACATCACTGTCATAATCAGATCTGTATAAATTAGACGTCTGATGAGCCACGACCTTCAGAAACATTAGTTTCAACATAGATTAATATGCTTCAGCATTTGAATGTGCGCATTTGCACTTTTTTTCTGTCATATGATTTTTCAAAATCTCACTAAAATTGGAAGCTTCAGACTTTCCGAACTGCTGAGTCTAAACCACTGACTAGTGAAACCACACAACCAATGTTCAATATGAGTAATACTGAAACTTACTCCAACACTGTAGTCATTACACAAAAACAAGTTTTTAAAAAAAGTTTAAAAAATCTCTTTAATTGGTCAGTAAAAGATTAAACTGTAACTCTGCCACTACTTTTGAAACTCTTACAGAACAGATTACAGTTTGAAGTCATTCCTCTTTTATTACATGTACTGCAGTGTTACTCTGAACACACTCAGGTAAAGCTCTGATGATCACACACTGCCTAAATTAAACAGCTTTGTCTGTTTTGCATATCTGCACCTAAAACCCACAACAGTGAAGAAAACAGGAATTGAAAGTAAAAGACTAAAGACTGTTCTGACATTTTAGAACAGAAAAAGCTCCATACAAACCCGCAGACAGGCTTCAGGGTCATAACATGGAAGATGTTTTCCTGACTACCAGACGGCACGACACGGATTTACAAACCCTGTTTTTGAAAAAAATGCAATAAAAACAAGAATCTGTGGTTTTGTTGATGCTCTTGAACGTTTATTCAACTGACAAAAGTAAAAAGAAATGGCTTTTAATAGTTTGGCTGACAAACTTGATTTGTATTGTTGTAAATATAAACAAATTCTGAATTTCACGCCTGCAACACACTCAAAAAAAGTTTGAATTTCAGAAATTCCATGATGCAATCAGGTCAACATGGACCAGAATCTTGTGGAATCCATGCCATGAAGACTTGAGGCTGTTTTGATAGTAAATTGCATTGTCAGTGTATTTTGCCAGTGAGATTATGTTCTCTCTACATTATGAGGACATACTGCAGTAGCATCAAGGCATATTTTGAGCTCCACTTTGGAGCAACAATAAAGGAACAACAAAACAAAGACGTGTAGACTGTAAAAAAATGACGTTATTACTTAAGTCTTAATGTTGATGTTTCAGCAAGATCCATTTTAAACAGTAGCTTGTAACAACATCTGGAAGCCGCATCAGGCAATATCAACTGAGAGCTCATATCTGAGAGGCACAGTATTCCTACTGAGGACTGACTGCCCACCCCCACCCATGGTGGGAAGACTGCTTAGTATAGGTCAGGATTTTTTTAATCAAATACTAGTTTAATGAGTCAAATCAAGTGTGTTGCTGGTTTGTTTCTGCTTTAGCACTGAGCAGTTTAGCACCAGCCTTTCTTTGATGACACTGAGAAAATAATCTGCTGTTTGCTTTGGATAGGTTGCCAAACAAGTCTCAGATTCTTGAGGAAAATAATGCTAATGTATCTGTATGTGTCATCAGATAAACTGGTAAACAAGTTGTTTACAAATGAGTAATTGTGACCCTGAAGTTTACATTAATAAAACGTTTGCTTCTGTCAACTCATATAATCAGCGTAATCGACTTTCACAGAGAGACTTAAAACACTGACGCTTCACAAAGAAATTATTAAGAAATGTTTTTATTAAAAGCAGTAAAATACATATAAAGTCAATAGCCAATTTACAGCTTATTCAATAATGTTATATATACTGATCACAATAGAAAGTAAAAAGCTGCTGCAGTGATTAATAAAGCTAAACCTGCTACTAAAATGGCATGGACTGCTAATACACTGGCTCTTAAGGACTTTATATTAGCCGCATAAAGAGGTATCCTGGATAACCCACTCTGGACCTTTGTAACTATTGGTGTAGTGATGTACGTGTGCTTGCGTTTTCCTTTGACCTGTTTGTATAAAAATGAGAAATGTAATCTCATACATATCCTAAATCATGGATACTTCATTTATTTAAAAAGGCATTACTTCCAAAAACAAAGTAAAAGAGGGACCAATGTCTAAAAGTACATAGATCCAGTTCAAACACTGCTTGGTCTACTTTTTAATATACCAACTGAATATTTAAAACTTCAATATGTGCTTTAAAATGGGCTCTTTTTTACAAAACCTACCCAGCAACCAAATCAAACACGTTTCTCTCATCATCAGTGTAACAGAAAGACTTCCACAAAGCAAAATATCAGCTTATGTTTAAGCAAACATTGATCTTTAGTTTTGTCACAAATTATTAAAAATGAAACAGATATCTAACATTAATTCTGTAAACATAATGCAGGTAATTAAAGCTGTATTATAGACTTCACTGCTTCACCTCCTGATATTAAAGATGACTCCTCTATATCTTCAGAAGAAGCTGCAAGAATTCAAATACATGTGTAAAAGGTTTTATAACAGAAGTGAGCCATCAAAAAAAGAGTATAAAATATACCAGTATAAAACTTACCAGCAGTGAACTTCACACGAATTCTGCAAAACAAGAGAAGAAGTGTATTACAGACATTACAGTCATTCATCAATACTCCAGATGGATCAATGTCAGCTGAACTCTCTCGAATCTGACCTGGAGATTTCTTCTTGTAGTAGAGGAATCCAGCAGTGGACAGGATGATCCCCAACACAAACCCTGAAGCTCCAATGATAATCTTGTCCCTATCAGAATCACGAAAAGAACCTCCTGTGGGACAAAAACACCATTTCATTAATGTGATAAACATACTGTTATGAATATAAAACCAGTTTTACAGCCTTATTATAAACTGACTTTGAGTTCTGTTTATTCTTTATTGATATTTACTGACAAGCATGGTCTGTATGGATGTGTGTTTATTCTCACCCCAGTCAATGATGATGGGCTCCTTGGAGCTGGCGTGCTCCACCACACAGGAGATATTCTCTCCAAATGTGGGCGTGTACTCCAGGTGGGAGTGGACCTGGTAGTACCAGTTTCCATTAGCCATCTCCTCAGTGGACACCACATCAGAGGTCACCTTTTTACCGTCTCTCAGCCAGTACACATCGATGATTGGGGGGTAGAAGCCATACGCGCTGCACATCAGCAGAGCTGGACGACCCTCACTGGCCTGCTTTTCTGATGTAAGACGCACCTTTGGCTTCACTGCAAATATCAAATATTATTAGTGCATTCATAAAATAATATTTAAAGCAACAATTTTTAATCATTTAATATTAATAAAGTAAACTTTGATAATGGAATATGGAGATTTATACCAATTATATACCAAATATCAAATATACCATACAGAATTCATAAATATCATAGTATTCCACTACTGTCTCACACTGCTATGGAGGCTCTGGAGGAGTGGTCATGTCAAGGGCCATGCAAAGAGGCATTCACTCCTCATAAAAAGGGACATTTTATGTTGTTTATGTTGTTGTTCAGTCTTTTGAAGGTGTGTGTTGGTATTTGTTGTGTAACTTCGTGTTGGTCAGTGGGGTTAGTTAGCCAGGGTTGTCCATCTTACCCGCAAAGGACCGGTGTGGCTGCAGGTTTTCACTCCAAACAAGTGGAGCACACATGACTCCACTTGTTTAATCAGCTGGTCTTAGACTTCAGACGTTTCATCAGATGACATCCTGCTTTGGAGTGAAAACCTGCAGCCACACCAGTAAGACTGGACATCCTTGCTCTATGCCAATGCCACAGTGGGGTCAGAAGTGGGATAGTGCCCCAGTGGTCTAGAGTAGAGCATCACTTTAAAGAACTTCAAGGCAAATGGTGATAGAAGCAGAGCCTGGCAAGAAATTGTGATGTCAGGGACATCAAAGGAAAGATGGTATGGCGAGGCTCAATGACAGAGCCAACCTAACGATGGTGCTGGCATGAGAAGGCCTGATGCTGGAGGCAGCGCAGCAAGGCACAATGACCGTGCTGGCAAGAGGGAGGCCAGTGAAAGCAAAAGCAGAACCTCAAAAGCCACAATGTGGAAGTGCCAAAGCAAGCTGGGAAACCAATGGTGAGCTGATGTGGCGGAGAGAGAGGAAGTGCTGGGAGCCTGAGTTGGCGGGTAAACAGATGCTGGCTGGAAGAATCAGCAGTGACCGCAGGCTGTGGGTTGAGTGCAGAGTGGACAGCAGATGGCTAGAAGGTGACCATATTCCAGCTTAGGTCGGTCTCCGGAATTGGGACCCCAGAACGCACAACGATGCTCACACCATCGTCAATGGCGCGGTGGGAAGTGGAGAAAGCAGATGGCGGCTGGTTGGAGCGCCATTATTGCTGCTATTACCCCCCAGCTGTGCATAACTTGACGCAGCACACTGTGGCGAGTTCTGCCACAGGCAGGAGGAGCTGCAATGCCAAGGACACAGCCCCAGGCAAGGATTGAGGGGACTTACCGCTGAGGAGAGAGTGCACAGTGGTGTTTGTGCAGGCGTGGCACGAGCTGGTGCTTCACCCTCTTTCAGGGGGAGGGGCGACTATGTATCATCCTGCTACTGGCTCATAGGCTATGTTCACATTACCAGGTTGAAGTGGCACAAATCCGATCTTTTCAAATCCGACCTGAGACATTTTCATATATGGTGCTAGATTGGATACATTTGTGGCCATGTGACCTTAATGTGACGCTCAGATCAGAATTCATGTGCTTTTTTTTCCACTGCACGTGCGCCATCATTGAGTGTTACCATGGCAACAGCGCCGAACAGAAGCCTGTAAACGGTGGAAAAGCAACACATCTCACCTTTTTCTCCTTCGTCTCGCTCTAATAATGAAGCTGAGAGCTGATCAGAGTTAATGATCTTCTCAGCGAAGCTCGTTCTGCTCGTTAGTTTGTGCTGATGATGGACGTGATTCATTCACGTGACGTTACTGAGTAGGATGAGCTCACGAGGGTCATTTCAGGACGCCGGTTCGTCACATTAATGACAGATTTGAGTCACTTACCTAAATGAGTGTGAACCATCGTGTCAGAGAGATCGGATTTGAGCAAAAAATCGGATTTGAGCAACGAGGCTTGTAATGTGAATGCAGCTATAGAGGCTTTGGAGGCATGGTCATTCAGAGGGCCTTTAGTGTCATGCACAGAGCTGTTGCATTACAAAAATGAAAAAGTATGTGTGTAGACATTAATAGAGCTAAAAAAAAGCATCTTTTAAATATAAAATTTCTTTAAATAACAGTTCAGTTTGTATCACACTGCATCTACTAAATTGCTCATGTTAATATTGGATAATTTTATCTATAGAAACCACATTGGAAGCATAAAATATAGCATGTGTAATAGCAGCTAGCTAATATAGCAACTAGCTGTATAGTTACTAAAACAGTAAATTCATGCATGTTAAAAGTGATCATCAGTATTTATCTGCATGTAATCAGCTGTATGATTTAATAGTTTAGGACCCCTCACTTCCATCGCCGTTTTGCACTGCTTACTGGCCTTCTTCAAAATACAGGAGTGTCCCTGTTATTTTTACATTGTCTATACAGATCAGCTCTCCGCTGCTTTTAAAGCTCTCGTGTATCTTCTTTTTATCAGTGTAGGCCACATTTGTGTCTCACCTGTTTTCTCCAGTACATGAGTGAAGTCTAATTTTACATTAGGTTTGCAGTATCTGTCCAGCTGAGCTCTCTCCTGCTGTAGAATAGGTCCCTTGTTCCAGCGCTCTGCACTCTTCACGCCGAACTCAGTGAACCCTACAAATTCGCCCACCGTGCTGTTAAACCGTATCACTGGATCCTTATTGAAATAAAATGTGTCAATGTATTCCAGATCTGAGAGATCTGATGAACTGAAGACGCAATCTACAACTTGATACGAATCATATCCATCTGGAAATTATTTGAAGAATAGTTACAAATAAAGTTGTGTGTTTTAAGACAAGCAAATAAATAAATATATGATTTTTATAAACAGAGTAAGAAATAAACATTTTATAAATATATGAACCTCTAATTTGTATGTAAAAATAAAATGCAATACTTCCTCTCTAACAGTCATTACAGAATAAAGAATCTAACAGGAAATCTACTTAATTCCAATTAAAAAGCTGATAATATGATTGTAAATGTAAACAGACCTGCTCTCCAACTCAGACTCAGAGCGAGCAGCAGCTGCAGAATCAGGATCATCTTGTCTTGACATCCAACAACAACTGTGAGAGTTTAAGAGAGTGACTTCCTGATCATACAGACTCACTGACCAATCAGGATCTGCTAAACTACTGCATCACATGTTACTAAGCAGATACGAGTACATTTTCATGTAAATGTTTTAAAAAGCGTTAAATTCTTAAGCCAAAGCGTTTATCTGTAGACTGTGTATATGATTCATTCTACTAAACTGGTTCTGAATTCAAACACATTTCGGACTTTTAACTGGCTTTAAAACCCTTTAGCTTTGAGTGACCCTTTACCTTAATTATGTTTATTTTATTAAAATAAATAACTGAACATTTCATTTTGTCGCTAACAAAACAGTTCTAACACTACTAAAACTACCAAAAGCTTCTGTAGTGACCGTTTCAATTTTAGCTCATTTTGAATGGAACTAAAAAAACGCAGCCAGTGCATGACCAGCAAAACAGATTAAAGAGCTGAACACACATAAAATCATCATATTTTTCATCAAAACACAAAAAATGTACTTAACTGCAGAAAATCTGTGTTTCAGTAATGACAATTCATAATGTTCCAGACTGATTTTCAGATTTTGGGACACATTTACTTTAAAAAGTAAAATTAAGACTTAAATCTGTTTTCTTTTTTCATGGATTTCCAAATGTCCAAGCAGTTTATAGTTAGCAGTGCATCATACAGCCAACAGCAGTGATTCGTGGTCAAGCACAATCACAGTATGATTCACAGCAGCGTTGCACTTTTTATCAAATACGATATGAACAGAACATGATGAGGTTTAAGTTCAACTCATTAAAAAATACATCTTACCTGGATTTCTGTTACAAGCAGTAATCTAGCAGCCCTTTATCATGGAGCTAACATGATACTGTCAATCCAACAAGGTGCCATTTAAAAATTATCATTATTGCAGTGGTGTAAAATCATAAAAATGCAGTCTTCTCATGAATAAAATTTCTAAAAAATTATTTCACATCCACTTTGAGCATGTCTCAGCCAATCAGATTTCAGAACCAGATCTGTCCTCCCCACTGAGTACTGATTCCAGACTGCAGGAAGGTGGAGCTGGACGTTTGGCACAGAATCACAGAGAGACTGAGTGAATCTACTATATGGACTGGATGTATTTCAACTGCATCTTAGCCAATTTACATATTTCTTACTTTTTGGTGGTGCTATTGTTCTTGGGCCCACATCAGCTTCCATTCATTTGGTAATGGCAGGTAAATCAATGTAGATGCCAAAATAAAACCTTACCTTGCATGGTCAGTACTTACTAACACCCCCTTTGGCAAATATCACAGCTTGTGAGCCCTTTTTGTAGCCAGTTAAGAGTCTTTCTGTTCTTGTTTGTGGGATTTTCACAGATTCTTCCTCACAAAAGCTTCTAGTTCTGTGAACTAGTCTTGGGCCATCTTGCATGTACTGCTCTTTTGAGGTCTATCCGCAGATTTTGAATTATGTTTTGGTTGGGTGTCCAAACCTTCAGCTTGAGCCTCTTGAGGTAGTTCATTGTGGATTTTGAGGTGTGTTTAGGATCATTATCCTGCTGTAAAACCATCCTCTTTTCATCTTCAGCTTTTTTACAGTCAGGTGTGCTTCCAGAATTTGCTGGTATTTAACTGAATCCATTCTTCTCTCTACCAGTGAAATATTCCGTGTGCCACTGGCTGCAACACAAGCGCAAAGCATGACCGATCCACCCCATGTTTAATAGTTGGAGTTGTGTGCTTATCATGAAATTCTGCACCCTTTTTCTTAACCTTTGCTCAGTGCACCACCACTCCGGAGTCTGCTAAACATGATGACGTTCAACTGCTATTTCTTAATTACTTTACAAACTGAGAAAATGTAAATCTAAAACTGCTTTGCTAACTTATTATAACCTTTTCCTCCTTTCAATTATTTTAATTTTCAGAGTGCTGGGCAGCTGCTTAGAGGAGTGTGAGGCTGCTGATTGTTGGGAAGAGGTCAGAGAGTCAGAAAGTTTATAAAGCTGTGAAAATTCCATCAACTGGCCTTTCCTAGTGATGACTGAGAAGAAGCCACAGCCCTAACAAGCTAATTAAGGTCTGAGATCTTGGGTAAAATTTACTCAAATCTCTTGGGTGTAGTTCTACAATTACAGACTGTAGTCCATTTGATTCCATGCATATTTTGTTTTCAGCCTGTTATTCAGTGGTCAATACCAGGGCTAACAAGGTAACCGATGGACTACAGTCTGCAATTGAAAAATTACAAAGGGCTCCTATATGGTCAGTGGAGCTGATAAAATGGACAAAAAATGTAGACACAGCGAAGTGTACCTAATAAATTGAGTGAGCATATGATGTCATTTATTTTTCAGTTAAGACAGCAGGATTTCTTCAAGGCATGAAAACATACAGTCATCAAGTGTTATTATAAAACTGATGCTGTGTTTTTTCCACAGGCTTTTTATTTTTGAAAACACTGATTCCAAACAAAGTTCATGTGTTCAAATCATCTGTTATCATACGCTTCATGTCTTATCATCCAGCAGTGATTAATCATCTGGAACCAAATTGGTTTTCTATTCAAGTAGCACTATGAGATTTTGTTAAAGCTGTAAAAAGCATCATTACAGAGTGAGGAGAATAAAAACAGGCTGAAATATGATGAGCGTGCGCTGCTGCGAGTCTCCCTGTAAAACCTGAAATAATCATTTAAAAGTCAGAGGCGTCGTTTTCTGAACCAGCTTCTTTTTCCCGAGGAGCTCAAGTAATTTCTGTTCTGAAAGTAAACCCCACCGCACGAAGTCAGGAGTCTGTTTCCCGCAGTTTCCTTTGCTGCTTCCTTTGTGGCCTCCTTTGATGAAGAAGAAGATTCCAACAGCGGTTCCCAGCAGTCCTGCAGCCAGACCCGCTACACAGAACACAGTCGGACCCACACTGGGAGGAGTGACCTGCATATCTGAACAACACAGAAAACACACAAAATATGCTCATACACAGATTGGAGTCCCAGTCTTTCACCACTTTTTAGCTTAATTCACAATATAGACTCAATGGCCCTGTTTACTCCATTATATCGCTCCTGTCGGAACAAAACCTCGTATCTCCTTTTTTGTCGTTTTTCAGTTTTTGACATAATTTGAAAATGCCTGTTCCTCTTTACATTGTATGTAAATTTCATGAAGAATGGCCCAAAAGAAATGACCCAAAATGACTTGGAAAAATGTCTGGTTCCATTGACTTACATTAAAAGTAAAGTAGGTTTTTTTTTCCTCCTGTAAAGTTACCATTATGGAGATATGAGGTTTTGTTCCGACAGCAGCGATAATCATATAAGGGTCCAATCCTGTTCTTACTGACTGTCTTGCAAACTCTTAATTATTTCCTACCACAACACACCTGATCCAGCTCATCAGGTAATTATTGAACCCATAATGATCTATATCACACATTTTTTGGCAGAAAATAAATAAATCTGCAGATTTCTATCACACTACATCTGAACTGCCATCAGCAGCTTTCACTGTGATAAGCAGAGATTCATTAATGAAGCCCACTAACAGAATCAGGTCTATAAGCAGGTTTAAATCTCACCCCATGTTTTGGTCAGTGGTCTGTCCAGGGCCGCGTGGTTCACAGTGCAGGCGTAAACATCGTCCTTCTTTGGGATGAAGCTCAGACGAGAGATCAGGTTGAAGGTTCCATCATCAGTAACATAATATCTGCTGAGAGAAGCTTCATCTGTCACATTGATGTTGTTCTTGGTCCAGGAAACTCCAACATGTGGTGGGTAGAATCCAGTGATGTAACAGATGAGGGTGTTATTAGAGCCCAGCTCCACATTGTCCTCTGAGTAGAGTGAGCTTTGAGGAGCATCTTGTGGATAAAGACACAATTTCAACATTAATCATCAAGAATATTTGTTCGTAAGAAGCAACTTTTAATGTTTACATTATTTATGTTAATATTGTGATACTGAGAACCCGATACTATGTGATCAGAACTTGATACTATCAGGTGAGCATCCAATATTATCAAGTGAGCATCTGATTCAGATCAGATCTGATCAGGTGAGTGCCCATTACTATCAGGTGACCACCTGCTACTGTTTGGTGAGCACCTGCAACTATCAGATGAGCACCAGATACTACCAGAAAAATTTACCATGTCTGTATCTGGTGCTATCTTTTTCCCTAAACTGACATGATGCAGCCATAACATCTGCAGTTCTTAATACATATGATTTATTATTTTAGGTAAATATTTTTTTTTTCTGCACCATCTCTCTTCTGTGTTTTATTTTCTTGTTATTAATTCTGTGCTACAGTGTCTCTCGTGTCTCACCCTTTGGTTCGGCAGGGTATCTGTAAGCTTTTTCAAAAACAGCCAAGTTTTGTTTACAGAATTCCTCATTAGCAACAGCCGCCTCATAGGATCCTTCTGGATAGGTGAAAGGATGTGCAAACTCTGGCAGGGTCATCACTCCTTTCCTCTGACTGAAGTCAGCGTGCCACTTTTCTTCTCCATCAAGTCCATATATAACCTCTTTCTCTGTATCAGAGCACAGGGTCATGTAGGTGTCCTTGTGCTGAGCTGATAATAAAAGAAGGAGAAAAGAACATCAGTACAAACATTCACACACACTGGTTTACTGGTTTATCCCTTTGTGAATGGACAACAAATGGCTATTTCTGCTCAGAACTTTTCTTCTTCTGATGAAAACGAGCATTCCTCAGTTTATGAGCAGCAAACATATTCAGGAATAAATATCAGCCTTTAGTTACTTAAATCATGTTCATGTTCAACTTTTTCTCACTTTGGTCTGATTATGTTAATTTGCAGCTATAACAGCTTCTGGGAAGCTTTCTACAGATTTTGGAGAGTGTCTGTGGGAATTTCTGCTTGTTTGTCCAGAAGAGCATTTGTGAGGTCACTGATGTTGGACGAGAGGGTCTTGCTCGCAATCTCTGTTCTAGTTCATCCCAAAGGTGTTTGATAGGGTTGAGGTCAGGGCTCTGTGAGGGCCAGTCAAGTTCTTCCACACCAAACTCACCCAGCTATGCCTTTATGGACCTTGCTTTGTGCACTGGATCTCAGTCATGCTGGAACAGAAAACGTTCTTCCTTAAACTGTTCACACAGAGTTTGAAGTGTACAATTGTCCAGAATGTCTTGGTGCTGAAGCATTAAGATTTCCCTTCACTGGAACTAAGGGTTCTAGACCAACCCCTGAAAAACAACCCCATAGCATTATATCATCATCCCTCCTCCACCAACTTTACAGCTGGCACAGTGCAGTCAGGCAGGTAACGTTCTCCTGGAATTCGTCGAACCCAGACTCGTCCATCAGACTGACAGATAGAGAAGTGTGATTCGTCACTCCACAGAAGACGTTTCCACTGCTCCAGGGTCCAGTGGTGGTGTGCAATGTCGACGCTTGGCATTGTGCATTTTGATCCTGGGCTTGTGTGTATCTGCTCAGCCATGGAAACCCCATTTCATGAACACTTAATGAGAGAGAGTATACACTCTTTCACATGTGCTTTCTTCCATGTTCCTCCTCCCTCTTCCTCCCTAGCGTGAACCAGAAATCAGGCTACAAATTCTCTCCTTTTGAAATTCTATTTTTTTTTAAATATAAGATTCAATATTCAAGAGTTTTTGTCATGTGCACAGCAGAAACAGGCAGTTACACTGTACAATGAAATTCTTTCTTTGCTGTTCCTCCATTCACAAATATAATCTTAATATAATCTTAGAATATAAAAATAGAAAAACAAAAAATAGAAAATAGAAGAATGACACTAAAAACAATAGTAAAAAGTACAGTTATATGCAAAGTTGAAAGAAAAATTAAAGTTACATGTGTGTATGTGCAAGTATGTAGAGCAGCGGTTCATACAGTGCATGTTGCAAGTAACAGTAGTATTCTGACAGCAGCAGTACAGTGTATGTAAGTTGCAGTTATTGAGTGCAAAGTCGGCCAAAAGTTAAACCAGTTCAGAGTGGGAGGGGGGAAGAGGTATAAGTGAACAAGGAACAAATAGGGCTGTATTCTGAGTTCTTACAGGAATTTGCTGACTTTCTCTCAAGTTTAATAACACTCTGTAATAAAGTAATAATTGTTGGAGATTTTATTATCCACGTTGAGTCAGGTTTGCTGAGGGTGGAGAGGAGGGGAGCTGACTTTTCTGGGAGCCTCATGTCTGTTACCTTTCTGGCTCTCCCTGTTAGTCAGGCTGTAATAGCTTAACCTGCCGGAGTCTCTGCTGCACTGTGTTAACACTGTAAACTGTAATCAGTGTCTTTTAGCAGAACTGACTGTGTCTGTTTTCTTTGCTGAGCTGAATAACTGCCCGTCCTGTACGTCTGATGCTGTTGCCTCATCTGCCGTGATGGGGTGCCCACTGCTCACCAGCCTTCTGGACCAACTTGACCACCATGGAGCTTCACGCTGTACAAAGCTGTGCAAACCTCACCTGCATGAACTGATCCTTCTGATAGTGCTGCTGCTGCACAGACTAGAATTATTTAATCAGAGCCATTGCTTCACCTGCTTTTCCCCTTTTCTGTATAATGACATTTTATACTAATGTTAAAATCTTATTGCTCTTCTGTTATTGTTTTGCAGTGGAGTGTCGACCAGAGGAGGATGGGTTCCCCTTTTCAGTCTTGGTTCCTCACAAGGTTTCTTCCTCTTGCTTCTTTCTGTCGCTACTGACTTGGACACAGATTTTTCTGCGAAGATGCTTTTGCAGCAACGCCTGATGTAAAAAGCACCATATAAATAAACTTTGACTTGACTTGACATGTTGTCCTGTAGGTTTAGTAGCTCAGTTGTCTTAAAGATGTAGGTCCTTTTGTTGTAGCCACATTGTCCTTCCTGAGTTCAGAACATATGTTACCCTCACCTGGTCCCAGCCCTATCCTTTGAACCCCCTCTTCAACTTCTTTTCCTACCATTTACTCCTTCCCCCTTCACCTGCGTTCCCCCAACCCTCAGTATCTCTACTTAAACCATGTCAGACTATGTATTTATTGGTCTGGTGATCGACTGATGACCAAGCTGTGCCCGTGCATGATCCTCTGCATGCACATGAATAAACTCAGAATCTGAAGATCCAGTCTCCTGACTCCTCCTCCTGAATCTCTAACACTAACATCCAGCACTACAGTTCACTATTAAATACTGAAGCTTTGATACTCACATTTAGCCTCTGTGTATTGAATAACTGCACAAATGAGAATCAAACACAGCTTCATCTTGATCAGCGCAGAGGAAACAAACCCGTACATGAGTGAGAGCTGACTGACTACAGTCTCTCTGTTCCTCTCTCTCTAACCGAGACCCCTCAGTAAATCATCCAATAGAATCATTACTTTCACTCTGGCACTGCAGTATCTGGGGAAGTTTCAGCCTCTCTGCTCCCTTAATGGTGCAGTGTGTAAGATTTAGGGGATCTATTAGCAGAATCAGAATATAGTAACAAAACTATGTTTTCATTAGTGCATCATCACCTATAACTGTGAATCATTGTGTTTGCTTAGATTGAGCCCTTCATATCTACATAGGGAGCTGGTCCTCTCCCAATGGAAAGAAGCATAATCCTTGTAGAAATGTCCTACATACATAAAACTCCAGGAAGGATATTATACATGCATAAAAAATAAATAATATTCAGTATTGTTTTTTGGTGCAACACTATCTAAAATGGATATTAGCTTAGAGTTGAATAAGAGAATAAGAGAATATTTTTGTTATTATCTTTTATGTCAACAGTAGTGATCTGAGATGGTAAAATCCAAAATTTCATTATGTTAATAAATAAACCTTGTAACATGAGTAAATCTAAAGTGTGACCATGAATATGTGTCGGACTACTTATGTGCTGTGTAAAAATTAAATGTGTTTAAAAATTGAGTTCAGTAGCTGTTTTGTCTGAGGCTTCATCAACATGGAAATTAAAATCACCAATCAGAAGAATCCCATCATGATTAGTTACACAGATGAAAAATAGTTCAGACCATTCAAGTAAGAAGGAGGGAGTGTAATTGGGTGGACGATAAACAACCAGCAAGACTGGTTTCTGACCTTTTTAGAACAGCAAGATATTCAAATGAAGAACCTGTTCCAAATAATGTTTTTACAATTAAAAATATTAGAAAAACAACAGCTACACCACCTCCCTTCTCACCTTCCTGTACAGTATGGATCAAATAATCATAATTCTGGAGCAGTTTAAATCAGGAAAACTGCCCCATCTGAACTGAGCCAGGTTTCATTAAGGATCATAGGGGGGTTGACGGATGTTTTGAATAAATAATCTTTATCTTTGATAATTCTAACAAGTAGCGTTTATTAACCAAACAATAGTAATCTTCACACTGTAAGATAGGCCTTAGCTTGCATGAGAACTTGGACACAGGGTGGCCCCTTTTACTAAAGGGGCTTCCAGAAGCTGGTGAGAATCTGCTGTGTGAGCAAGAAGAGCTGTCTTTGAGATAAGAACCAGTCCTGGAGTAGGTGAATTTACAATGCGACCAGTCAAAGCTAACATCCTTGGGAAAGTGGAATATCCTGGTACAGCTAAGATAAGATATTTTGGCAACACTTTCTATGAATGTCACCTTTGTAAGCGTCTATAAACACATTCATAACATGTTATAATGCATTCATAAGACATTATAAACGTAGCTATAAATGTTTATAAAAATGCATTATACATTATAGCCATCTTTATTATGCATTATGAATTAACATAATGCTTTATAAGTACTGATCATAACTAATTATAAGAGCTCATAAGTTGTACTTGTCCGCACTGAATAAAGTGAAGCGTACTGTACTAAAGCCTCCTCCAGTGTTCAGAGTGAGGCTTCAAGTTGAAGTATTTACTGAAGGATTTACTGAAACACTAAAACATACACAATAAAGCACATTACAGGCTTCAAATGTCAGAGTTTAAACTAGAGCTGCATCAGTGTTTTAGCCCAATGTGGGAAAGTCAATGTACACCACCGTTAGCTTGGTATTTGTCTTTACTTTGCAGTCTCTATGCTGGGACTGACTTCTTTGGCGCTGACATTATAACATGTTATTAACACTACTTATAATGCATTATATAAACAATTCATAATGTATAATAAACATGGCTATAAAGTGTAATTCAGTGTAATTCTTTTTTATAAATATTTATAACCATGTTTATAATGCCTTATGAATACATTATAACATGTTATAAATGTGTTTATAGATGCTTACAAACATGACATTCATAAAAAGTGTTACCAATATTTTTAAAAAAACATATATGCTTGGAAATAAGGATTCCCAAGTGAAAGTGTAACAGTTCCAAAGGACATGTAAGGTTTGGAAATGATGGGAACTAAGATGGTATAGAATTTTATAAAAAAGGAGGGGCGATTACTTCGTCGCCCCAAACAGGATATAAAAAATGGGTGTTTTTGACATGTTCTTTGCATTGTAGTTGGTACACTAGCTCTAAAAAACACAGCAGCCCAGCCCACCCGGTTTCCCTCACAGCCCCACCTCCAAACATGTAGATCACTGCAGTGCCCCTCCCAGCGTGCCCCTCCCATTTTTGAGCATTTTTCAAAGTTGAGCCAGGGGTGGAGTCAGCTGAAAATAGTGGGGTGTAGTTACTCTTTAAGGAAAACAATGATAATGTTTGTGCGTGTGTCATCAGATCAACTGGTAAACAAGTTATTTACAAATCACACATAGTTAATCTGTAATCGTGACCCTGTAATTTACATTAATAAAATGATCGCATTTAGCAACTCATATAATCAGTGTAATTGACTTTCACAGAGACACTTAAAACACTGACGTTTCACAAAGAAATCTTTAAGAAATGTGTTTATTAGTAGCAGCAAAATACACACAAAATCAACAGCCAATTCAACAGCTGATTCAATAATGTTACACACACTGATAACAACATCTCTAAAAAGCTGCTGCAGTGATTAATAAAGCTAAACCTGCTACTGAAATGGCATTGACTGCAAATACACTGGCTCTTAAGGACTTTAAAAGGCTAATATAAAGAGGTATCCTGTATAACCCACCCTGGACCTTTTGTGTTTCTGTAGTGGTGTAGTGATGTACGTGTGCTTGCATTTATATGTGACCTTTTTGTCTAAACATGAGAAATGTAATCTCATACATATCCTGAATTATGGACCCTAAATTTATTTAAAAAGGCATTATTTCCAAAAACAAAGTAAAAAAATGCTTTAAAATGGGCTCTTTTTTTTTTCACAAAACCTATCCAGCAACCAAATCAAACATGTTTCTCTCATCATCAGTGTAACAGAAAGACTTCCACAAAGCAAAATATCAGCTCATGCTTAAGCAAACATATATATGTAGTTCTGTAACAAATTATTAAAAATGAAACATATGTAACATTAATTCTGTAAACATAATGCAGGTAATTAAAGCTGTATTATAGACTTCACTGCTTCACCACCTGACATTAAAGGTGACTCCAGTATATCATCAGAAGAACCTGCAAGAATTCAGATAAATTTGTAATTTTTTATTTTTTTTTAACAGACGTGAGCCATCAAAAAAAAGAGTGAAACCAGTATAAAACTTACCAGCAGTGAACTTCACAGGAACTCTGTAAAACAAGAGAAGAAGTGTATCATTACAGTCATTCATCAATACTCCAGATGGATCAATGTCAGCTGAACTCTCTCGAATCTGACCTGGAGATTTCTTCTTGTAGTAGAGGAATCCAGCAGTGGACAGGATGATCCCCAACACAAACCCTGAAGCTCCGATAATAATCTTGTCCCTGTCAGAATCAGTAAAAGAACCTCCTGTGGGATAAAAACACCATTTCATTAATGTGATAAACATACTGTTATGAATATAAAACCAGTTTTACAGCCTTATTATAAACTCACTTTGAGTTCTGTTTATTCTTTATTGATATTTGCTGACAAGTATGGTCTGTTATAATGTGTGTTTATTCTCACCCCAGTCAATGATGATGGGCTCCTTGGAGCTGTCATGCTCCACCACACAGGAGATCTTCTCTCCAGATGTGGGCGTGTACTCCAGGTGGGAGTGGATCTGGTAGTACCAGTTTCCATTAGCCATCTCCTCAGTGGACACCACATCACCGGTCACCTTTTTACCGTCTCTCAGCCAGTACACATCGATGACTGGGGGGTAGAAGCCATACGCGCTGCACATCAGCAGGGCTGGACGACCCTCACCCGCATGCTTTTCTGATGTGAGACGGATCTTCGGCTTCACTGCAAATATCAGATATTAATAGTGCAATTATAAAATAATTTTTAAAGCAGCCAGATTTTCAATCACTGATTTAATATTAATAAACTATGAGAATGGAACATGAAGATTTACCTTCTTTACCTAACAGCAATATTACTGTATGGATAAATATAATAATCATGAATTCATAAATATTGTAGCATCCCACTACTGGTTCATAATGCTGTAGAGGCTCTGGAGGAGGGTTCATGCAGAGGGCCATGCAAAGAGGCTCATGAGAGGCATGCATTTTCCACATAAAGAAACATTTATGTTGTTTATGTTGTTGTTCCTGCATTTAAAGAAGTATGTATGAATTTATTTTGTCATTTTGTGTTGGGCAGTGTTGTTAGTTTAAGTGGGTAGCGTCTACTGTAGAGTGAAGAGCTATGGCCCTGCTATCCTTGTCTGTGTTTTGGGCTTTTCTGCAGGTGTCAAAAGAGGACTTATTCCAGCAAAATCATGCCATATTCTGTGTGTTATTGTATGCTTACTGGATGCTACAGTGGTGTCAGAAGTGGGATAGTGCACACAGGCCTTGAAGTTGTTTGAACTGCAACACAGGCTCACCATCACATGCTCGCCAATAGTCCTACTGCAACCAGGTGCGCTCATAAATGGCTGGAAGGTGACCATCATCCAGCTCAGATCAGCCACCAGGGTCAGGACCCCAGTGTTGGTAGGCAGTTCGCTACTGGCACATGCTGCCACAGAGGCTCTGGAGGCATGGCCACACAGAGGGCCATGCCACGAGGCTCATGGGGGGTGTGCACTCGCAGTAAAAACTTAAATGTTGTTTATGTTATTGTTTGTTAGTCTAAACTATGTGTAAATGTTGCCTGTGTGCTTTTCTGTTGGCTGGTGGGCATAAAGACTATTTGAGTTGAGTGTCTACCACAAAACAGAGATGAATGGCTGGTGATGACCTCCTCGCTCTGCTTAATGAATGAGCACTTCTCGCAGCAGAATCATGGTGGGCCCAGCAGCACGATATTTATTTATATTCTATTTATATTTTTCTCCTGCAAATAATTTTACATCACAACCAAAAGATAGTTGGTTGAGAAATTTGAGCCATTGTGCCAGATATTAAAAGGTTTTTGAATCAAGTCATTTGTTGTCCATTAAGAGCTTCAAGCTGTTGAGTCAGAAGGGCCAGACTATTAGAGTATTAATAGGGGTTTTGATGCACAGATGAGTCACTCTGTGTTAGATAAATAAGTTTATCTATGACTGGAAGAGCATAAAGGATAGTAAGTTTATTTTAGACATGTTTCTGACCTAATCAGTTTAAAACAACTCTTTTGATGTGCTAATGTTGTTTTACTATTTACATAATGTGAACTGTGTTAGTGTTGACATCATTATGCATGCGTGACATTTCAGATGCCAAAAGTACACTATATGGAAAAGTATTGGGACACCTACAGAAGCTTTTATGACATCCCATTCTAAATCCATAGGAATTAATATGGAGTTTGTCCCCCTTTGCAGCTATAACAGCTTCCACTCTGTGGGAATTTCTGCCCATTCATCCAGAAGAGCATTTGTGAGGTCAGACACTGATGTTGGACAAGAGTCCATCTCCATTCTAGTTCATCCCAACGGTGTTTGATGGGGTTGAGGTCAGGGCTCTGTGAGGGCCAGTCAAGTTCTTCCTCACCAAACTCACCTAACCAGTGGGACTGGGAAAGGGCCTTCCCCAAACTGTTCCCACAAAGTTGGAAGCATATGGCTGAGTTACTGTGGTTCCTAAACGCTTCCACTTTTTAGTAATTCCACTCACAGTTAATCGTGGAATATCTAGGAGGGAATTTTACAAACTTTCTTTGTTGCAGCAGTGGCCTCCTATTACAGTACCATCCACGAATTCAGTGAGCTCTTTAGAACGACCCAATCTCTCACAAATGCTTGTAAAGGCAGGCTGCATGGCTAGCTGCTTGATTTTATACACCTGTATCAATGAGACTGAAAACCATCTGAATTCAGTGATTAAGAGGTGTGTCCCAATACTTTTGTCCATATAGTGTATCTGAAGTGTGCAAGCAAGGGGAAAAATTAAGAATAAGACACTTAATGTCTGTGTTGCCTTTTCAAAAAGATGCAGTGCATAACATAACGCAAGCTTATAAATGTGTGATGCTTAGAGAGGTTCCATTTAATAAAGTCCCTGTGTAGACGTGAAAAGAACTGAAAACATTTTTTCTGAAGCAACTTTAAACACAAAACCACTCAAATAACAATTCAGTTTGTATTTCACTGCATCTACTAAATTGCTCCTTTGGATATTGGATCATTTAATCTACAGAAAACAGTTGGAAACAGCATAAAAAATAGCACATGTAATATCAGCTAGCAAACATTCAACCAGCTGTGCAGTTAGTGAAAAATAAACTGAACTCATTCATGTCAAAAGCAAGAAAAAAAGCACTGACCAGTATTTAATCTGTGTGAAATCAGTCTGGGAATAAACAGTTTGGATGATGATTTAATAGTTTAGGACTCCTCACCTCCATCTCTGTTTTGTGCTGCTTACTGGCCTTAAAATACAGGAGTGTCTACACAGCTCAGTTCTGTGCTGCTTTTAAAGCTCTCGTATATTTTATTTGATCTATTTTTTTCAATGGAGATTACATGTGTTTCTTACCTGCTTTATCCAGAATATGAGTGTAGTCTAACTTTAGGTTGGGTTTGCAGTATCTCTCCAGCTCAGCTCTCTGCTGCACTACTTCAGGTCCCTTGTTAAGGCGCTCTGCATTCTTCACTCCGAGCTCGGTGTACCCTACGAACTCCCCCACTGTGCTGTTAAACCGTAACACTGGATCCTTATTAAAATAATATGTATTAATATATTCCAAATCTGAGAGATCTGATGATCTGGAGATACAGTCTAAAACTTGATACCAATTATATCCATCTGGAAATAATAAGGAAAATAAATAGATTAGTTACAATTAAAGTTGTGTGTTTAAGACAAGCAAATGAATAAATAAATAAATAAATAAATAAATAAATGTTTCCTCTCTAACAGTCATTACAGAATAGAGAATCTAACAGGAAATCTACTTAATTCCAATTAAAAAGCTGATAATATGATTTGTAAATGTAAACAGACCTGCTCTCAAACTCAGACTCAGAGCGAGCAGCAGCTGCAGAATCAGGATCATCTTGTCTCGACATCCAACAACAACTGAGAGAGTTTAAGAGAGTGACTTCCTGATCATACAGACTCACTGACCAATCAGAATCTGCTAAACTACTGCATCACATCTTACTAAGCAGATCATAGTACATATTAATATAAATGTTCAAAAAGGGTTAAATTGTTAAACCAAAGAGTTTATCTGTAGACTGTGTATATGATTCATTCTACTAAACTGGTTCAAAGTCAGAGTTCAAACACATTTTGGACTTTTAACTGACTTTAAAATCCTTTAGTGACCCTTTACCTTAATTATGTTTACCTTATTAAAATAAATAATTGAACATTTTGTTTTGTCATTAACAAAATGGATATAATGCTACTAAAACTACCAAAAGCTTCTGTAGTGACCGTTTCAATTTTAGCTCATTTTGAGTAGAACTAAAAAACGCAGATTAAAGAGCTGAACACACATAAAATCATCATATTTTTCACTTCACAATCACAGTATGATTCACAGCAGCGTTGCACTTTTTATCAAATACGATATGAACAGAACATGACGAGGTTTAAGTTCAACTCATTAAAAAATACATCTTACCTGAATTTCTGTTACAAGCAGTAATCTAGCAGCCCTTTATCATGGAGCTAACATGATACTGTCAATCCAACAAGGTGCCATTTAAAAATTATTATTATTGCAGTGGTGTAAAATCATAAAAATGCAGTCTTCTCATGAATTAAATTAAAAAATTATTTCACATCCTATTTGAGCATGTCTCAGCCAATCAGATTTCAGAACCAGATCTGTCCTCCCCACGGAGTACTGATTCCAGACTGCAGGAAGGTTGAGCTGGATGTTTGGCACAGAATCACAGAGAGACTGAGTGAATCTACAGTTTGGATTAGATGTATTTCATAGATGTATTTCAACCCCTTAGCCAATTTACATATTTCTTACCTTTTGGTGGCGCTATTGTTCTGGGGCTCACATCAGCTTCCCTTCATTTGTTCATGGCAATTATAAATCAATTTAGATGCCAAAAAAAATTTGTTAGGGTACCTTGTGTGGTCAGTACTTACTAACACCCTTTGGCGAATATTACAACTTTTTGTTGCCAGTTAGGAGTCTTTTGGTTCTTGTTTGGGGGATTTTCACTGATTTCTTCCTCACAAAAGCCTCTAGTTCTGTGAAATTCTTGGTCTGTCTTGCATGCAGATTCCACAGATTTTCAATAATGTTTTGGTCAGGGGACCAAACCTTCAGCTTGAGCCCCTTCATTGTGGTTCAGTGTGGATTTTGAGATGTATTTAAGATCATTATCCTTCTGGAAACCATCCTCTTTTCTGATTCAGCCTGATTCATCCACCCCCATGTTTAACAGTTGGAGTGGTGTTCTCATCATGAAATTCTGGACCCTGTTTCTTAACCTTTGCTCAGGGCACCACCACTCCAGAGTCTGCTAAATCTTTGGTAAAATTTACTTGAGAGCTCAAATCTCTTGGGTGTAGTTCTACAATTACAGACTGTAGTCCATTTGATTCCGTGCATATTTTGTTTTCAGCCTGTTATTCAATGGTCAGTACCAGGGCTAACAAAGTAACCGATGGACTACAGTCGGTAATTGAAAAATTACAAAGGGCTCCTATATGGTCAGTGGAGCTGATAAAATGGACAAAAAATGTAGACACAGCGAAGTGTACCTAATAAATTGAGTGAGCATATGATTTCATTTATTTTTCAGTTAAGACAGCAGGATTTCTTTAAGTCATGAAAACATACAGTCATCAAGTGTGTTATTATAAAACTGATGCTGTGTTTTTTCCACAGGCTTTTTATTTTTGAAAACACTGATTCCAAACAAAGTTCATGCGTTCAAATCATCTGTTATCATACGCTTCATATCTTATCATCCAGCAGTGATTAATCATCTGGAACCAAATTGGTTTTCTATTCAAGTAACACTATAATATTTTGTTAAAGCTGTAAAAAGCAGCATTACAGAGTGAGGAGAATAAAAACAGGCTAAAATATGATGAGCGTGCGCTGCTGCGAGTCTCCCTGTAAAACCTGAAATAATCATTTAAAAGTCAGAGGCGTCGTTTTCTGATCCAGCTTCTTTTTCCCGAGGAGCTCAAGTAATTTCTGTTCTGAAAGTAAACCCCACCGCATGAAGTCAGGAGTCTGTTTCCCGCAGTTTCCTTTGCTGCTTCCTTTGCTGCTTCCTTTGTGGCCTCCTTTGATGAAGAAGAAGATTCCAACAGCGGTTCCCAGCAGTCCTGCAGCCAGACCTGCTAGACAGAACACAGTCGGACCCAGACTGGGAGGAGTGACCTGCACATCTGTACAGAAAACACAAACATAAACGATGCACATACACAGATTGGAGTCCCAGTTTTTCACCACTTTTTAGCCTAATTCACAATATAGACTCAATGGCCCTGTTTACTCCATTATATCGCTGCTGTCGAACAAAACCTCGTATCTCCTTTTTTGTCGTTTTTCAGTTTTTGACATAATTTGAAAATACCTGTTCGTCTTTACATTCTATGTGAATTTCATGATGAATGGACAAACAGAAATTGCCAAAAATGACTTGGAAAAACGTCTGGTTCTATTGACTTACTTTAAAAGTAAAGTAGGTTTTTTCCTTCTCCTGTAAATTTTTTTGAAGATACGAGGTTTTGTCTGACAGTTCTTACTGACCGCCTGTCTTGCAAATTTTAAATTATTTCCTACCACAACACACTTGGTCCAGCTCATCAGGTAATTATTAAACCCATAATGATCTTTATCAGACGTTTCTTGGGCAGAAAATAAATAATGCTGCATGGTTCTCTGCAGACTTATATCACACTACATCTGAACTGCCATCAGCAGCTTTCACTGTGATACGCAGAGATTCATTAATGAAGCCCACTAACAGAATCAGGTCTATAAGCAGGTATAAATCTCACCCCATGTTTTGGTCAGTGGTCTGTCCAGGGCTGCGTGGTTCACAGTGCAGGCGTAAACATCGTCCTTCTTTGGAGTGAAGCTCAGACGAGAGACCAGGTTGAAGGTTCCATCATCAGTAACATAATATCTGCTGAGAGAAGCTTCACTCGTCACATCTATATCATTCTTGGTCCAGGAAACTCCAACATGTGGTGGGTAGAATCCAGTGATGTAACAGATGAGGGTGTTATTAGAGCCCAGCTCCACATCGTCCTCTGAGTAGAGTGAGCTTTGAGGAGCATCTTGTGGATAAAGACACAATTTCAACATTAATCATCAAGAATATTTGTTCATAAGAAGCAACTTTTAATGTTTACATTATTTATGTTAATGTTGTGATACTGAGCACCCGATACTATGTGATCAGAACTTGATACTATCAGGTGAGCACCCAACACTATGTGTTTAGCACCCAATATTATCAGGTGAGCATCAGATGCTATGTGGTGAGCATCCGATTCTTTAAGTTGAGCACCCAACACTATCAGGTTACCACCTGGTACTGTTTGGTGAGCACCTGAAACTATCAGATGAGCACCAGATACTACCAAAAAAATTTACCATGTCTGTATTTGGTGGCATCTTTTTCCCTAAACTGTCATGATGCAGCCATAACATGTGCAGTTCTTAATACATATGATTTATTATTTTAGGTAAATATTTTTCTCTGAACCTTTTCTGTTTTATTTTCTTGTTATTATTTTTATTGTTATTATTATTTTTTTTATTATTATATTTTTATAATTGTTATTATTGTCATTCTGTGCTACAGTGTCTCTCATGTCTCACCCTTTGGTTCTGCAGGGTATCTGTAAGCTTTTACACAAACAGCCAAGTTTTGTTTACAGACTTCCACATTAGCAACAGCGCTCTCATAGGCTCCTTCTACGTAGGAGAAAGGATCTGCAAACTGTGGCAGGGTCATCACTCCTTTCCCCTGACTGAAGTCAGCGTGCCACATTTCTTCTCCATCAAGTCCATATATAACCTCTTTCTCTGTATCAGAGCACAGGGTCATGTAGGTGTCCTTGTGCTGAGCTGATAATAAAAGAAGGAGAAAAGAACATCAGTACACACATTCACACACACTGGTTTACTGGTTTAACCCTTTGTGAATGGACAACAAATGGCTATTTTGCTCATAACTTTTCTTCTTCTGATGAAAATGAGCATTCCTCAGTTTATGAGCAGCAAACATA